AAAAAATCTTATTTGATATTATTATGATTCACTAGTTACGTGGTCCGCTTGACCACTTAATATTTTTCAATTAATAAGGTTTTTAGTTGAGATGAAAAAGTCAGTGTCACGAGCGGGATTCGAACCCACGACCTTCGGCTAGATACGCCGCTACTCTACCACTTGAGCTATCGTAACTTCGATCCACTCGGACACTAACTTCCCATCTCAACCCCACCTTTTGGATTTTCCCTTCTTTTTGCCATNGTCGCCGAGAATCCAATCCGATTACACATTTGAAAAATGGCAAAAAGGAGGGAAAATTCAAAAGGTGGGGTTGAGATGGGAAGTTAGTGTCCGAGTGGATCAAAGTCACGATAGCTCAAGTGGTACAGTAGCGGCATATCTAGCCGAAGGTCGTGGGTTCGAAGCCCGCTCGTGACACTGACTTTTCATCTCAACTAAAAACCTTGATTAATTGAAAAATTGTTATGATTATTCATTTGCAGTTCGGACTTTCACCCCGATGTGCTGACCCTAGAGTTTAAACCTCCGGGGAGTTCACGTATCCCGTTATGCAGGCGGGTATCTCCATTAAGCTACATGCCAAGAAGATCGTCGCTTCGCAACCAACGAGGAATCTCCAACGGGGGATTTTGACAGTCAACCCCAAAGCATGTAAAATATTAACAAATAAAATTAACAAATTTCTATAATACAGTCGCACAAATAAATACATTCACTTATATGTACATTTCACTCGTTCTGAAGAGTCGGCGGAGTACTCGATATTCCCCCATCGACCTACACACAATACTAATAATCTAATCTAAATTAACCCATCGACCCTGAAAACAAACAAAACAAAAAAACAGTTCTATACAGGGTGTTACAAACTTTGCCAGTAGATTCTACAATCAAAAAGGAACCAAAAAGTCCTAATTGACTATGCTCCGAATCTCAACAGTTTCGGAGTTATTCTCCTTTTTCTGTTTTTTTTTTTTTTTTTTTTTTTTTTAATTTTACCACCTTGCTTCAAATAAACAACGGTAACGCCAAAACGAAAAGGTTTTGGACAAATCCGTTGATACCGTTGAAAACTACGTTAAATTTCCAATAAGATGTGATCGATACTAAACTTGTCAACATTGGTGAAATAAGCGTTTTAGTATCTAGAACTTTGAAAACAAAAAATTTTTTCAAAGTTGAGAAACTTACTATGGTGATTCTAAACTACTATTTCCAAACCTAGAGACCAGCAAGTTTCAGAAAACGTACTCCATGTAATATCCTTTTCAGTGGTGTAATTGTTTTTTCAATTACTTTTTTCAAAGATGAAGAAAAATAAGAAAGAAATAGAAAAAACTGTGGTTGACGGATTGGTTAGGTGGAAAAATTAAAAAAAATTGATAAAAAACTTTTGGATGAATTTATTAAACTTTTTAATTTGGGTTAGAAACCGAAATAGAGCAAGTGTACCCTGATTTTTTTATCTTTCCACCTTACCAATCCGTCAACCTCAGGTTTTTTCATTTCCTTTCTTTCTTATTTTTCTTCATCTTTGAAAAACGTAATTAAAAAAGCAATTACACCACTAAAAAGGATATTACATGGAGTACGTTTTCTAAAAATTTCCTGGTCTATTGGTTTGGAAATAGTAGTTTAGAATCACCATAGTAAGTTTCTCAACTTTGAAAAAAAATTTCAAAATTCTGGCTACTAAAACGCTTATTTCACCAACTTGTTAATCACATCTTATTGGAAATTTAACGTAGTTTTTAATGGTATCAACGGGTATGTCCAAAACCTTTTAGTTTTGGCGTTATCATTGTTTATTTAAAGCAAGATCGTGAAATCTTAAAAAATCGGGCAAAGGGAAATAACTCTAAAACTGATGAGATTCGGACGGTAGTTAATTAGGACTTTTTGATTCCATTTTGCATGCAGAATCTACTGACAAAGTTTGTAACACGAGTAGTCGAACACCCTGTGTAATAAAAAAACAACGTTCTCCCAAAAGCGAAACAGATGACTGAGAAACTCGCTACTGTGCCCGAGAGCCATTCTTGAATTCGGTGGCATGCCTACACGCTCTCTGAAAGGAGCCAAGGCCGGGCAAGTTTCTATTATGCGGGAAACATCGTGTTTTCTCTGCATAAAGAGTACAGCATGGGCTTTGGCCCAGAATTGCTATTCTCCCATCAATACCTATTATTATGAACATTTCAACAATGCTGTGATTTTTATTATGTGATGATTACTGGAACTTCACGTTGTAATAAGGTTGTATCTTTAAAACAATAAATTTAATTCATTATAACCTACTACACGCTGAAATGTAATACATCACGGACTTTACCACTCTCTCGTGACGTTCAGAAATAAAGTTTCAACAAAATGAAAATTGGCACCGCCTGAAACCTAGCGGACGACCTTAATAAAAGACGACATACAAAAAAAATTGTCAACGTTCTTTTCTTCCACCCCACTCAAATAAATTATTAATTTTTCCTATTGTACAACAAACAAAAGAGCTAAAGAATTAACTTTATTTATATATGCTACACTTCAGTTTGTTTGCTAGCAACCTAGACAGCTTATGCTCCCATGTTTGGTTCACGATTCACATTCTTCTGTGATGCGTGTGTATAGAATAAAAATAAAATAAAACGGAACGTGAAATTTTGTCAAATGTCAAACCAAAGCATCTAAGATAAGCAGACCAGGAATATAAGAGACTTCAAACAAGGTCAAGAAAAAATTATGCCAGCTGTTAAGAAAATATTGTGTTCTTTTCTGAAATAACAAAATCAAACATACTTCTGCCCAGAATGGGTGGACAAGAAGCAAAATGAAAAATGGACGAATTCTAGAAATTCCGGACATACAGAACACACACTGGCAAATACAAGCGGCAAACAGGGTAAACCTCGGGGGTAGTGATGGAACTATATACCGGTCTCTGGTATTTGAAATCACCTAAATAACATGATTATATTCAATGCTGAGGAGGAAAAAGCTGCAATATCATGCTGCTGCTTCTGCATATTCGAAGGCCGACGTCCCGACAAATCTGCTGAAGATAGCAAAACGTCTGACAGACTAAAAAGCAAAGATATCCTTACTGCTTTAGACAGACAGATTTTTCTATTTTCAATGATTGATTTGTCGGGACATTGGTCAGGGATTTAACCAGGTTGAGATGACGATATTAGGAAACTGGGGGTTTTTGATATTCCCTATGCAGTAATTTGCCTTATTGTACTATTCCTAGTTACTTGTTCAGTTCAAGAGAATCTTTCCTTTGTTTTTAATAAGTAGTAAGTCATTGACTGTCATTGCTAGATGAAGCTGACAGTCAATCATCTATTTTATCGTAAAAGAAGAATAGATTCTATTGAACTAAGGAATTAGAAAAAGTACAATAAGTTAAAAAAATGCAGTATTTGCGGAATAGCAAACCACCGGCTTCTTAGTAACCTCATCATCTCAACCTGCTTAAAACCCTGACCGACATACTCTCGGACAACAAGAAATATGAAGAACTATGTACCTGTCTCTGTCATCTGAAAAAACAACTAAATAATGCTATTTTCAATTATTGATTTGTCGGGACATTGGTCAGGGATTTAACCAGGTTGAGATGATGATATTAGGAAACTGAGGGGTTTTTTTTGGTATCTCTATGCAATAATTTGCCTTATTGTTCTGTTCCTAGTTCAAGAGAATTGATCTTCTTTTTTAAAAAGTAGTAGGTCTTTGAATGACATTGCTAGATGAAGCTGACACTCAGCCATCTCTTATTTCGTAAAAGAAGGATCGATTATATTTGAACTGGACTACGGAATTATAAAAAGTACAATAAGTAAAACATCTGCAGTACTGCGGAATACCAAACCACCAGCTTCCTGGTACCCTCATCATATCGACCTGCTTATAACCCTGACCAACATACTATCAGACAACGAGAAGATATGAAGAAAAGGGTTTTGATTTGGTCCTCTACCTCAAAGAAAAATTATTACAGTAGAAAGTGTAGAAACTTGAATGTTAGATATGATAAAAGGTTATTTGAACTAATTAAGGTTTTTAGTTGAAACGAAAAAAAGTTAATGGCACGAGAGGGATTCGAACCCACGACCTTCGGCTAGATACGCCGCTGCTCTACCACCTGAGCTATCGTGACCTCGATCCACTCGGATGCCATTTTTCAACCGTCGTGTAATCGGTTTGGATTCTCGACGACAATTGAAATAATTAAGGTTTTTAGTTGAGGCGAAAAAAATGGCAAAAGGAGGGAAAACTCATAAGGTGGGGTTGAGATGGGGAGTTGATGTCCGAGTGGATCGAGGTCACGATAGCTCAGGTGGTAGAGCAGTAGCGTATCTAGCCGAAGGTCGTGGGTTCGAATCCCTCTCGTGCCATTAACTTTTTTTCGTCTCAACTAAAAACCTTAATTAATTGTCTTGTATTAATTGATCAAGCGGACCACGAAAATAGTGAATAAGTTATTTGAATTATTGCTTATAAAAATGAAAGGTTTTCCTTATTGTTTAACAACGTTGTTTTTATTTATTTTTTTAACAATGGTATTTCAACTACGAGGTTGTAGAAGAAATCTTCGGGTGCCGGTGTTTTTGAAAAAAAGCCCACTTGTAAGTATGTCGGATAATCCAGCGGCTCTGTATTCAACCCGGGACCAATACCTTACATTGATGAGCGCAGTGTCAATACCTAAACCTTTGCGACCACCGACCCCCTACTTTTTTATTGCCAATGTCATTATTGTGAGATTTTTCTGTAATTAATTTTAACATAGCCACATTGTGCAAGTTTCGTTTTTAATGTTGCGCTGCACAAGGCATCGATGAAAAGTCGGGTGAGACTTAGGTTGTTTTTCTCTTTGGCATCAGATCACAGGGTTAGAGTATTTTGAAACTTAAATTGACGTACGATACAACAAAGGGTTGACATGTCGTCCCACACTTTTATCCACGTGGAACAATGAAGTTTCAAGTTACCTGTCAAACAGAAGATATTTTGAGTCTTCTTTCTCGACGCATTGACCCTTGGTTTCGATGTGCGTCAGATTTATGGCTATGTTCGGCTTGTGGATCCCAGACTGAAACCACTGGCCGGTCCAAGACGCTGGAAACTTGCATCCTCCTGCAGACAAAACAAATCAATATCGTTAGTTTTAAAAAAAAATAGTTTCCTTGTTAGCAATTATATTATTTGGATGGGTATAAAACAAAATTAAATTTACAGTATTTCTCTTAACGCCTTAATAGTCTGACAAATTCTCTCTGCATGTACAAGCAGTGTGATTTAATCCTCTCCTAACTAAACTTTAAATATTTCTATAATAGCAGATTAAAAATGAGCATATATAACATATAACAAAAAAGTTTCCCTTGTTACAACAGAAGATATTAAATATAAAATAATCGTATTGAAATATTTCCTTCTCATCCTGAGATGTTAGAGCGTTATGTAAAAAATGGTTAGCAAGGTTTTAGAGAAGATGGTTAGGGATGGTGGAATATGGACGCGATATTCTCTGCTCTAGAAAACAAGAAATATTGCTTGATGTATCGGAAGCATTTGACGGAGTTTGGTACCCAGGCCTAATTTTCAAGTTAAAACTATCCTCCCTCAGAGCTCATAAGTCCTTCCTCTCCTACCTCTGATTAAATTTAACAATCGGTTTTAATTTTTTACGTGTCTTTCCAATAAAATTCATTCTGCATATCCTACATTGCTAACATACCAATAGTTTTACTAGCCACTGACTCTAAACCTACCTGACAAAAGAAGCAAGGGATCGCGGTGACTAGTGGTAGGGCGCCCGACTCGTATATGCCACGTTAGCGGTCTTGGGTTCAAATCCCGGTACAGCCTATGGTTTTTTTAATTGAGAACAGAATGAAACGAGTTTTGTAAAGTGGTTTGAAACCTCGTCCACGTCACCCAAGGGTAGATATTAAGCCCTCCTGTATGACAAAAATTACTTACAGAAGCAATCCAAGAACGTCATTACCTGCGGATCAAGTTCAACTAGTACAAATGCCGAAACGTTTACACGTGGATGTCAGGCCATCATGCATATAAACAATAAAGTAATCCCTACATCCAAAGTCGGCTACCTTGTGCTTAGCTTGGATACATGGAACCTACACACTAGACTAAATAAACAAAAATTCAACAAATTGAGATGCCTTCTTGGACTAAGCATAAACGAACCGCTTACTTATTAGACCAAAGATTTTCAGGTGAGCCAAATCCTCCAATATCCAACAAATCCAATCCTTTCGATCTAAAGCCACCAACCTAACAATTCACAAAGACTTAAAAATCCCATTCGTTGATCTGATCCGTACACGTTTCCACGATTTCCACTCCAAGCTATCCTTCCAACCTAACCCACCAGCCCAAGCTCTCTTTCCTCAACGTCCAACCCTTATAATCCTCCACGCCGTTTAAAACAGCGATAGCCTCGTGACCTGCCGTCCTGACCCTATTCTAGACCCAACTAAATAACAGAGAGTCCCTGCACTGTTTGGCTCCTCTTCCCACCGCAGTTGCTCCTCTTCTTACATAGTTTATTTGATTTAAAAACTTATACAAATTCAAGAGATGCTTACATCACAAAATAATAATGAGAAAATAAAGAAATTAATTATGAATTTAATATACACAAAACTGTGACTATACACAATAAAATTACACAACAATACGTGTTCAAAATATTTTCTTACAAGTTGACGCATAATTAAGTATTTAAAAAATATAAATTTACATAAATTACGCTCTTATGAAAAATGTCACAAAAATAAGTTTTACGAATTTGAACATGCATTAATGCAGGGTAAGCTAAATAGTGATTGTGATAATCCTAGGCCTATTCTATTCAACAGCATCGGGTTTTTCGCAATTTTAATTAATTAACTCGCCTGTTCTTCCTCGTAATCATCGTTTAAAAAGTAATTTAATCGTCAGAAAAGACAGAGGATAAAGGAAAAGCGAAGTTCTTGTTCCAGAACATTTTGATATAATTATGATGAATAATGAGTTGGTTAATTTGAGTGGGCTTGAATCATTCAATTTATCAATACAGCTTTATTTACACCAATCAAATGTATAAATACGTAAATATATTTGTTACAATGGAAAAGCTTTCTCTAAATAATTGTTCCAAGATTTCATTAGCTTTTACTCATTCACAGTAAATTCTCAAGTGTATTGTGTCTGCCACACGTCTTTTACGCTCAAAACATTTTGTCATTCTGGCCATTAAACTATATTTTATCATACGAATCCAAACATCTCTTGCATGAACTGTAAAATTTTGCTTGAACATTGATAAACCTACGGTCACTGGCATCTGAGAAAACCCCTAAAAAAACATGGTTATATCCAATGCTGATCTCATTTGTAGGCAAAGCAATGAAGAAGAAGAAACAGTCTCCCAAATCATCTTCAAATGCGAACCGCTCAGAAGAGACATAACAGCTCGCAGACGACAACCTAGAGAAAAGGAAGTTCAGCGATGACAGCCAATGACCTACTACTTCTTAAAATAAGAAAACTAGGAAGGAAAAACTAGGAAAAGCGCAATAATGGAAAAAGCTGCAGTGCTCGAGTAATAGCAAATACCATATTCGTAGAATCATTATCATCATACTCTTACCTTGTTAACTCCATGAACAGCGTCCCGACAAACCAACTACTAAAAATAGCGAAACGACTGACAGACCAAAACAGCAAGGATCGGTAAACTTTTTATTTTAGTTTTATGGATAGACTAAAATTACCGGAAACAACCAGCTACAAGTGAATTTCGTAGACCTCAGCAATAAAGCCTAGGTACCAAGAAAACCCGAGGAAAAAAGAAAAAAACGACAATACATTAAGAACGACGAAAACTACAATAAGCAAAACGGCTTCAGAGCTCGGCGAATATCAGGCCACAGCTTCGTAACATCCTCATCATCTCCCCCTGCTTATATCCCTGACCAACGTACCGACAAACCCGCCAATGAAGATAGCAAAACGTCTAACAGATCAAAACAGCAATACTAGATAGACTAAAATTATCGGAAACGACCAAGCTACATGATCGTATGGCAGACCTCAACAACATAGACAAGAAAACCAAGAAGAGAAGGGAAAAATAACTTCACTATTACTTCTTAAAAGTCGAATGGACAAGGAACGATTCAATTGAACTGAACTAAGAAATAAGGAAAAGTACCATAAGAAAAACCGCAGTACACTTGGAATACCACATCACGTTCGTAATATCCTCATCATCATCTCGCCTTGCCTTCATCCCTGACCAACGTACCGACAAACCTACCAATGAAGATAGCAAAACGTCTGACAGATCAAAACAGCAAGAATAGATAGACTAAAATTATCGGAAACGACCAAGCTACAGGGTCATTTCGAAGACTTCAACAACGTAGCCTAGAAAAACCAAATGACAAGGGAAAAATAACTGCACTATTACTTCTTAAAAGTCGAATAGACAAAGATCGATTCAATTGAATTCAAGTTAACTAAGGTACCAGGAAAAATACTAAAAGCGAAAAACCACACTACTCTTGGAATACCACATCAGATCTGTAATACCCTCATCATCATCTCGCCTTGCCTTTATCCCTGACCAACGTACTGACAAACCCACCAATGAAGATAGCAAACCGTCTAACAAATCAAAACAGCAAGTACAGATAGATTAAAATTATCAGAAACGACCACGCTACAGGATCATCTCGAAGACCTCAACCACATAACCTACGGTAACTTGAATGCCCACGAAAAAGAACTCCAGGAATGACAGTCAATGAACTAGTATTTTTAACTAGGTAAACTAATCAATAAATAGGAAAAAGTCAATAAGGGAAATTGCTGCTGTGCTTCGGCAATATAAAAAAAAAAAAACATTTTCCTAATACCATCTCAACCTGCTTTTTTAACCAATGAACCGACCAATCTAACTCCGAAGATTAGAACACCTAATAGACTCACACAATGATGAGAAGACTAAAATTACCGGAAACGCCCGAGCTACAGGAATATCTCGAAGACTCAACGACATAACCTAGGTTACCAGTGAAATCTCGATTATAAAATCTGCAGCAGTGACAGCGAATTATTGTTTCAAACGTCCTCCGAATGTCAATTAATCTCTTATAATTGTGTACCAACGAAAGTTTTTAAAAAATTTAAGGATCTAGCGGTGGTTCCGTAGAAAAAAACAGGTCGGTTTGATATTCTGTTCAGGACCAAATAAGCAAGCAATTTCCGGATTAGGAGTGGTGTGTGCTTGTTTATTTGGCAATTTGTTCCGACATCCAGGGCAAACGTGACACATGGTAATTTTCTTCACCATTTTCCTTTAAAAATATATTTTTTTAATGTAGGTGGTTTGAGTACTAATATTAATAAAACTTGTCTAATCAATTTTAAAAAAAATGTAATAATATCAACTGCTTATGATTATTATGTCCTATTGTCTTTAAAACCTGGAAAACCTAATTTAAGAACGCCATTCGGATCAAAATAAAAACGTTATCAACATCCTTCGTATGTAAAATATGAAAGCAAGAAAAAAATCCCACAACATCCAAGTAGAAAACATGTACCATAGCACAAAACGAACAAGGATATTGTAAAATTTTTTGTTATTTGGTAACAAAACCACGGGACTCTTTGGAAACAACGGATCCGACAGGGAACAAACAAAAAACAGGGCCTGATGTAAATTAAAACAAGGAAACCGGTCGTGTCGATTACACCGGGCTGCGGTCTTGAGACCTGTTCAACCCTTGCCTATTGTTTTGATTCGGTATATTTTTCTTCTACGTTCGTTTAATAATTTAATAACAATTTTGGGCTTGTTTTTAATAATAATAATAAATTTACTGAGCCAACACAGAAAAAATATGTATACAAACAAAAAGTAAAGTTAAGATCAGCAAGGTAACCATCTGTCGGAGGTTGAATTAATTATTAAATAAATGGACAAACTTTACTACAAAGTAAACATTTATAAGTACTTTAAGCTAAAAAAAAAATATAATGATATAATAAATATAATACTTGTAATAAAATACTAACTACTAAATCGCTGTTCCGGTACCTCCAGGCTATATGGATTT